CTTTTTGAACTTTATGACTTATCCTTTTAAAAACATTAAATCCCATTATTTCAGACACTGGGAGGTTTAGAATCATCAAATCTTGTACTTTGATGCATCTTGGGACCTTAAAACATATCTATGAAAAAGTAGGTCACTGTGACCTACTTTTTGAATTTTGCCGACATTTGTTTTCAAATTGTTTAAAACGCATATTTTGATTACCTTCAGACCTACGATCATCAAACTTGGTCAGTAGATGCATCTTGGGTCTTTGAAAAATGTCGACCAAAATGTAGGTCACGATGACCTACTTTCGACATTTTATGGCTATATTTAAGTATCTTAGATATTTATTGGCTTAGAATCATCAAACTTTGTGAGTCCATGCATATTTGGTTTTCGGAGAGTGACGACCTAAAAGTAGGTCACGGTGACCTACTTTTGACATTTTATGGCTTTATTCAAGTATCTCCGGTACATTGGCTAAGAATCATCAAACTTTGTCAGTTGAGGCATCTTGGATTTTTGGAGAATGTCGACCAAGAAATAGGTCACAGTGACCTACTTTTGAATATCTCAGGTACGCATAAGCTTAGAATCATCAAACTTTGTCAGTTTAGGCACCTTGGGTTTTCGGAGAACGTCGACCAAAAAGTAGGTCACTGTGACCTACTTTTGACATTTTATGGCTATATTTAATTATATCTGGTACTTATTGGCTCGGAATTATCAAACTTTGTCAGTTGAGGCATCTTAGGGTTTCATTGAATGTCCAACAAGAAGTAGGTCACGGTGACCTAATTTTGAATATCTCAGGTACTTATTGGCTTAGAATCATCAAATTTTGTCAATTTAGGCATTATGCGTTTTTGAATAACGTCGACCAAAAAGTAGGTCACCGTGACCTACTTTTGACATTTGATGGCTATATCTAATTATCTCTGGTACTAATTGGCTTAGAATGATTTATCGTCAAACTTTGTCAGATGATGCATCTTGGGTTTTCAGAGAATGTTGACCAAAAAGTAGGTCATAGTGATCTACTTTTGAATATCTCAGGTACTTATTTAACTAGAATCATCAGTCTTTGTCAATTAATGTATCTTGAGTCCTCAGAAAATTTCAATCAAAAGGTAGGTCACTTTGACCTACTTATGGTATTTTATAATTATATTATAATATCTTCAATCTTAACTGGCTAAATATTATCAAACTTTGTAAGTTGCTGCATTTTGGGTCTTATGATTGTAATAGAGTTGGAGGCTTCTAATAGAAGTGATAGATTGTACAATTTATCAGAAGAGCGATTCAAGGCCCTTTGGCCTCTTGTATTTCTAAGGGAATATTTTGTGGAAGACTACCTGTGATCAGTAATAGTGAACAAATTGTTGTCTGGGAATATTTCTATGAAAATTGATAGTTAATGCTGAAAAGACACAAGAAACAGGTCCGAAGATCGACGATAAAAAGTTTGAGGAATTTCGCTCGCCAGAAAAGGATGGATGATCCGATGGATGGAAACACTTGACAGTCTTAGTTAATTTGCAATCAAGTATTTAAGATCAAAAACATTTAACCTACGATATTGATAACTAAAGGCATATTTATGATGTAAACAAAACATGGGGACACTAGCGAAAACTTACATTGAAGTTTGAACTACGACAGCCCCGAGGAGTTTGTCAGTTGTTCGTGGCGTGATTGCAATGCTTTGATATTTTACAACAGATTGACACATTCATCGTAAGTAGAATTCGATGTAAAAATTATAGTTTATCATGAAGATTTAACTAAAAGTGTACCAAAAATTCAGGATAAACGTTAGAGACTGTACAGCTGAAAAAAGTGACATAAAACTTGTAAACAAAAGCTAGGCCTAGTTTCTATCGGTATATTCTCCATGTATACACAGGTTAAATCGATGGCCAAAAAACTGTATAAAATACTTGTTAATGTTGTAAATAAAATAATTATTATTTTACTTGCATACTTTGTTCATTTTTATACATGAAATGCAAGTAGAACAAGTCATTTTATATAAAATTTATGCTCCGATGGATATTATTGCGCCGTGTGATTAGGTCACCTATGACCTCTGACAAACTTCATACAGAATTGAAGATATTTGTTCTCCGTATGTTTATATAATAGAGAGATACCACAAATGTATATATTTAGGGTTATAGCAAGATGAGTTGACAATTTCAAGGAAAAAAACTTAGTTACGTCACATAGTGTTTGACGATGAACTACCGGTATGACGTAACAATAGACTTACCTTTACTACCAAACAGAGACACCAGAAGTGAAACGTAAGTATCAAGTTTTCCTACCTTAATTTAATAATCAACTACAAAAGAGGGGGGGGGGGTCTTCTTAAAAGTTCTATTACTATGGAAATTCAATTGGAAAGGTTTAGATTTGATCATGAAAATGATCTGCAAACAACAATTTTGCAATGAGATTTATTACTCTGTAGAATTGAGAATCGCTATAAACAAAAAAGTCTGAGATACTTAATATTTTTTAATTGAGTTGTTACGGTTGATTTCAAAAGGGTGGTGTAAGTTAAGATCTTCATTAGTATAATTTTTTTACCGAGTATACAAATTTTACATTTTGTTTTAAACTGAAGATTGGTACCTGTATAATCTAATATACAAGCACCTATGTTAAATGTACATGTATTAATGCCAGTAGCTGTAATTCGAATAAAAAATATATGATTTAACGAAAATATCTTTTAATATATCAATTAAATATTCTTTTTCCAAAATTGAATAAATTGTGTCTAAAGAAATTGTGAATGTGAATGACAGGAGAGTTAGCAAAACTGCAGAACAAATAATATACAGTTATGGAATGGGTACGAGGGAAATAGCAAATTTATGGTTCCCCGAGGGAGGAAACTATTTCCCGAGGCGTCTCTTCTCGGGGAAATAGGCAGTTTTATTATACCTCTACCGTAATAACTCTGTATAAAATTGATACCATAAAACTGCCTATTTCCCCGAGAAGAGACTCATTCCCTCATCTGAGGACTACTCAGAGCTACTCCCTGGAACTACTCCCTCATGAATACTTATTAGTAATTTTAACCAATCAAAGTGTTCAGTGGGCGGAGCGTTCCAGGAATCTCGAGTCCGTGACGTAATGTTATTAGCCAATGTAACTATGACGTCAAAACATTTCAACATGCAATGTCAAAATCATAGTTACTTGAATTCTAGCAAAATGAAGACAACGATAATATATTCGAAGAGAATGGAAGACAAATGGAGGTATTCAGATACTACTATTGAGATTTAAAAAGTTTGATTCGTAGAATAATTCTAGTAATAATGTTTCTTTAGTAATTAAATGTTTAAATTGTTATTTCCTTTCTTAAACTCGGTAATCAGTATATGGTGGTAATGGCACATATGAAAATATAGAGGTAACATAATTCTCTTCTTTTGGGGGTGGGATGGAGGTTAGTTTATATAAGGGACCCCTTTAAGATGATATTTTATATAATTTTACAATAATTTACAACGTAAGTATTTCTAAAATTTCACTTGTGTGAGGAATAAGGAGATGGTAAACTTGTTGAATATATTAATAATTTAATTCTGGTTGTAACGCTGTATTTGATTGGATAAAAATTTTACTTTATATCGTATAAAATGGGTTGCCTACGTCACAATGACTTGCGTCAAAAACGTATCAATCCGCCTGACGTTACATTCAAATTTTGTACAAATTGAAGTCATTTTGTTAGAACAATCATATTTTTTCTTACATCAAATGAATGAAAATTAAATTATAAGCAATGGATTTAATAGCTACCCATTTTATAGGGTATAAACTGGGTTGGAACAGTTTAAGCTTTTTTATAAACCGCGAAAGCGTAAACTGCCCCAACCCAGTTTATACCGTATAAAATGGATAGCTATTAAATTCATTCCTTAACAAGAAAAAAAATCAAACGCACCTATCTTTAAAAAGATCTACTGTTCATACACAGTACCTCCTTTGTAAATATATTTGATTCAACTATTAAAGTTGATGTTAATGAAGGTATGTTTTAGAATTTCATTTAGACGGAGAAATTTGAGACCTGTAAGTTCGACACGCTGCAAGTGAAAAAGTCGAGGAAACGAGAAAAATTGAGGTATTTCAATACATTTTTAAAAAGGACTGAGATCTAAAACGGGATAAAATTAGAGCTTAAGTTTTTTGTTTTTTTCGTATAATGTGAATTTTTAATTGTGCAAAAAAAAAAAAAAAAAAAACACCTGCAAAATGCATTATTAACCGAAGGATATGACATTCAAATATCCATCCAAAATCATAAAAACTTACATGTTGCTAATTCGTTGGGAAACTATAGGGAGTTGTAGTGAAATGTTGATAACTTTTCTCGTCTTTTTTTATAAATTAAATTTTTTTCGATATTTTCAAATAGGAGATTAATATCAAGGATCAATGTGCAGAAACAGAGAGAAATTAAGAAACGTCTTTTTGGACAGAAAACAAACAGCGACATCACCGACAGAGGGGAGAATTTTGCCAGGTACGTAGAATCTACAATTACATCAAAATCGTTTAATTTTGTCACACATATACAGGTAGATTGTATTTTCTGATTTATAAAGATGGTCAGTTTTGAATCCTTGTTTTTTCTTTGTAGCGAAGAAGCACAGATTTTTAAAAACAAGCCCCTGAAAGAGCCCCTGCAAGATTTGGTAAGCACAGTTTTATTAAATTATTAAGGGTTGACTTTGATTTTGTTCTAATTTATGTTTTTTTCCCTTTTTTATTCGTTGGGGGCGGGGGATTTAGTGATAACATTTCTGGTATTTGTTATAGTTGAAAATTTTCAATAATTTCAAATAGGTTGAACCGAAGACATTAGCAAATATATAAATCAGTACATGTAATATGTGTGATGAAATAAGGCGGTTTCTTTCAATATAATGCTGAAGAAGAGGGATAAGATGAAAATACTCAAATTTGATAATTTAGAAGCCTTTGGTGGAGAAACTGGAAATGCATAAATGTGATAACCAGTGGACTGACGGTGTGGAGAAAGAAATGAAAACATACAAGGTATTGCAAAATAAATTACTGTCGAATCCATAAATAAAAAATGAGGGACAATTTCTGTGGATTGCTTGAATTTCACTGGTTCGTTGGGGCAGAATTTCTTATATTCCCCTTTGCCTACAGAAAATCCTATTACCTTATGGAGGATGTTTATTCGTGGATGAAAAGTACTCACGAATCTAAACTATTTTCTTTAGATAAACAAAATAGGGAAGAAAGAATTACATCGTAGAGAAGAAAAATGTTATCTGATCATTTAAAAAAAAAAATTAACATTGATTACAAGTATACCCCTAACTATTTTGTAGAAAATAAGAGCAACGGATAAAGCAGTCAACAAAAGACGAAGTCGAGTGTAAAGAAGGCCATCAAAAAGGAAACTAAAGACGACATTCGTATTCTTTGGTAATGTGTTACATTGTAAATAAATCTTGTAGAATTTACTATTAGTTTTGAATTTCTTAAATTGCAAAACTTTAATGTAACAAATGGATGATGACCTGTGTTGATTTCTTACTTTAAATCTTTTAACAAAATATGAAGAATCTAATATTTTTCTTTTTTATCTAGGTTAAAGTCAGTATGCTTAAATATCCTGTTTTTATTACGTTTTAAAATTCAAAACAAATAAATGTAACAAATATTATTGAAAAACTTTTACTTTTTACGCAGAGAGAGCCCAGAACAAGACAAGAGAGAAAGGCAATCTAAAGTGCATTATGAAGAAGAAATCCAAAAGGATCTTCAAACCATCCAGACAAAAGTGTCTGAAGAAAATCAAGAGACTCTAAATCATCAGCCATTGACTACGACAAATGATGAGAGAAAGGTATTGCATACTTTTATTGCAGACTTTGACAACTTCCCTATCTTTTGTCTTTGCGTTAGCACACGAAAGCAACAGCAGGGAATTACAAAAGATATTTTGCCTAATTTATATGAATTCAATTAAATCTGAATCTGGAATGTTTTTGATATGTGTCATGCAGTAAATTTGAATAGTGGATGGCAATGAATACAAAATTAAAAAGTTATAATCTTGAACATTTTCTACTTTCTGTCATCTAGTAAACAATTTCAAAATGACAGTTTCTGTTGAAAAGTAGACATATGGTGTGTGGGCGGCAATACATACAAAATTAAAAAGAAATTAATATATTATCTGGTACATTTTGTAAATTTAAAATTTCAGACAGGACACAGTTTTGTTGAAAAGCAGACAAGTGCTAACTATAATAGTATATTTAAAAAAAATTCTTCCCCAGGCTTGTGATGTCTATGAGGTCTTTGAAGATGATGATGATGTATTCATACCGAGGAAACTTTTCCTGTTCAACATCTGTGATTTTAAGGTACTGAAAAAATTCTAAAAGCTTTTCACTAACTGTTTGAAAAAAGTGAGAGATAGAAACAATTAAGTTGAGAACGAAATGATAGACTTGTTAATTCATTTAAATCCATTTTACATGTATTTAAAAAATTCCAAAATAAAATTTTATGTGTTTCGCAGTTCTACAATTTTTATATCGCTTACATGTACTCATAACATGTATTTCAACAGTTAATTTATTTTTATTTTCATTGGATGTAGAGTGAAGAAAAAATGGCTTGATACAGTGGAAAGGCAAAAGACAGCAAAGAGCAATTGGATTTTTAAAAACAAGATTTTTATTATTCTAAATGGATTGTTTTGAGAGAATAAATTTTGCTCTATATCAATATTTTGTTATTGTAGAACACAGCAATGTTCATTATTTAATTATAAAACTGGAATGTTGATTAAATTTCCTAATTATAAATTACTGGTGTACATGTGCAGAAAGAGAGTATAAGCTACATTACTCATGGTGAAATAAGCAATAAAAATTATTCAACGTTTACAAATCCATGATTGATTGATTGATTGATTGTATATTGTTTAACGTCCTTGTCAAGAATTTTTCACTCATATGGAGACGCCACCACTTGCCGGTGGAGAGCTGCAAATTTTGTCCTATACTCTGCACTCAGGGCCATTGAGCAGGGAGGGATCTTTTTCGAGCCAGCTACTTCGAAACGGGACCTCCATTTAAACGGTTTCATCCGAAGGACCGGTCTCCTCGTCCCACAATGGGATTCGAACCTGCGACATTAGGAGATTGACTTCTTACTTTGCGACTGTAGAGCAGACGCTCTAATCACCGCGGGATTGGCAAAAAAAAAATTAATTTCTCTAAAATTTGTCTATTTCGTTTCAATTTCTTTTATAAATATGATTAATGAACATGTTTTCCCCAGTTGTGACTGGTTTTAAGAAGATTTTAACCACAAGTTTAAAAAATATTCACAAATTATGTGTTTTATTTTCATAAATATTTTTTTATTTAAAATTTTTAAATATCTATACGGCTTTTCTTTACATATTTTATTAGGTATTTATATGATGCATTCATTTACGACAAAATTTTTACAAGAAAACATCTAATTTTGATGTAAATAATTTTTTTCATTTTCTTTGAAAAAATACAAAAGAATTCATATTAAATAATTTAGAGCTAATGTCGGCCTTTCAATGCTGAAACCATTGTTTAAAATGGTTGACTCAGAGATCTATAAAATAAAAAGTTGGTGTGGCATTCCTCCTTTACCACAGACCTAAAAAGGCATGATCGCGAAAATTAATCGTTGCAAAGTAGTTTACCCCCGGTAAATCGCGAAATAAAGTCGTCGCCAATAAAATATTGGTTTTCAGTAATGGGTTGCTAAATCATTTAACTCTTACGTAAGTAAAAAAAATGTATATCAATTCAAAATTTGAAATTAACAACTTTGAAAAATTTTGATATCCACGGATTAATATTTTTGAGTTACATATATCAATATTGATTAACACATCAACAATAATTACATGTTTATTTCAAATGAAATACGTGTATCTCATTGGTAATAATTTCTTTTATTTCACGCTTGTTTAAAGTCAGAAGGGGAAGTGTGAATGTGTAAGTAAATGTGAGAAAAAATCTCATTACGTCACTTAAAATGTCTTCTATTTGAAATTAAACAAGATGTGTTTGTGAAACACTACGCGCCCGGCGGCAACAAAGTTAAAAAAAAAAATTTAGCATATAGGTCACAGTCAAGGTCTTAAGGTCATTGATCTTGGTGTCATTTGAAAGAACTTGATTAGTGAAGTATGCATACCAAATATGAAGTTTCTATCTCTCATGGTTCAAAAGTTATGGTGAAGGTTCAAAAAAGCTATTTTTAGCATATAGGACACAGTCAACGTCACAAGGTCATTGATCTTGGTGTCATATGGAAGGGCTTATTTAGTGAAGTATACTTGCCAAATATTAAGTCTCTATCTTTCTTCGTTCAAAAGTTATGGTGGAGGTTAAAGTTTGCCGACAAAAAAGCTATATTTAGCGTATAGGTCACAGTCAAGGTCACAAGGTCATTCACAATGGTGTCATTTAAAAGAACTTATTCAGTGGTGTATGCACACCAAATATGAAGTCTCTATCTTTTATGGTTCAAAAGTTATGACGAAGATTAAAGTTTGCAGAAAAAACTATTTTTAGCATATAGGTCACAGTCAAGGCCGCAAGGTCATTGACCTTGATGTCATATGAAAGAGCTTAACTAGTGAAGTATGCATACCAAATATGAAGTCTCAACAGTTCAAAAGTTATGACGAAGGTTAAAGTTTGCAGAAAAAAATTAGTTTATAGGTCACAGACAAGGTCACAAAGTCATTGACCTTGATGTCATTTGAAAGAGCTGAATTAGTGGAGTATGCATACCAAATATAAAGTCTATGCTATTCATCTATCTTTCTTCGTCCAAAAGTTATGGTGGAGGTTAAAGTTTGCCGACAAAAAAGCTATATTTAGCGTATAGGTCACAGTCAAGGTCACAAGGTCATTCATCATGGTGTCATTTAAAAGAACTTATTCAGTGGTGTATGCACACCAAATAAGAAGTCTCTATCTTTTATGGTTCAAAAGTTATGGTGAAGGTTAAAGTTTGCAGACAAACAGACAAACAGCTAAACAGACAAACAGACAGACAGACAGACAAACAGACAGGACAAAAACAATATACGCCTCAGATCTTTCGATCCGGGCGCATAAAAATATAATATGTAAAACAAGATGTGTTTGTGAAACACTATGTATCCGGAGGCAACAAAGTTCGAAAAAGCTATTTCAAGCATACAGGTCAAGGTCACAAGGTCATTGACCTTGGTATCATTTGAAAGAACTTTATTAGAGGAGTATACGTACCAAATATGAAGTCTCTATCTCTCATGGTTCAAAAGTTATGGTTACGGTTCAAAATTGCTATTTTTAGCATATATGTCATAGTCAAGGTCACAAAGTCATTGACCTTGGTGTCATTTAAAAGCACTTAATGAGTGAAGTATGCATAATAAATATGAAGTTTCTATCTTCCCTGGTTCAAAAGTTATGGCGAAGGTTAAAGCTTGCAGAAGAAAATAATTTTAGCATATAGGTCACGGTCAAGGTCACAAGGTCATTGAACTTGGTGGCATTTGAAAGAGCTTCATTGGTGGAGTATGCGTACCAAGTCTCTGTACATGTCTTTCTTCGTTCAAAAGTTATGGTGGAGGTTAAAGTTTGCCGACAAAAAAGCTATATTTAGCGTATAGGTCACAGTCAAATATGAAGTCTCTATCTTTCATGGTTCAAAAGTTATGGTGAAGGTTAAAGTTTGCAGACAAACAGACAAACAGACAAAAAGACAGACAAAAAGACAGACAGACAGACAGACAGGACAAAAACAATATACGCCCCGGATCTATCGATTCGGGCGCATAAAAATCAGAAGGAAAATGAGCGGAATTCATTATGTCCGTATAAGCAATTCGTTATATTTCTATAGCTGGGGATCCAAGAAATCTTCCATATATCCAAGAATTCGCAATAAGTGTGTTCGTACTAAACGAGTTTTACTCTAATTAGCTAGAAAAAATCCAAGCAAATAGCAAAAATGTCATTTTTTTGGCCTTGGGTCTTTCCTATTAAACGAAATATGAATCGTTGTAAAAGACTGAAAAAGGTTCAACGGAATAGACTGTACATGTTTCTGGAGTTACTTTCACGGACGTACTAGTCTATGTATAGCCATGAAATGTGACTGCTAGATTTAATCATATACCGAGGTATCGCCATGGACAATACGTACTCTAGGGATATGCATCTTCTTACAATTAATCGGATATCAACAATAAAGATACAGTTTTAAACTCTGTTTGAATTGAGGCATCAAAGACTGTGTTACACTTATTCTATATATATATATATATATATATATATATATATATATATATATATATATATATATATATATATATATATATATATATATATATATATATATATATATATATATATATTTTTATATAACAAAATAAAAAAAAAAACAAGAGTAAAAACACAGTTTTCTAAAGATGTTCCAATTAAAAAATCTCCCAACTATTTTTTGGTTTGGCTATACATTTTGTTTCACTTCATTGGAATTTTTCAAATTTTCAGGCAATAAACACATGATTTCACAAAGAACAGGGTCATGCATCTTAAAGATAAAGACACAAAATTCATTGGCGCACCCATGTAAATTTTGTAGATGAAGAAATGCTAGTCTACAAAGGTCTACCCCACTATACTATAAAATCAACATAGTATAGAGGGGTGGAATATCTAGACTATAATTTCCTCAACTACAACATTAATGAGAAGCTCCTATGACAAAATTGACCATAACATTTTGGTCACACAGAGAGTTGGGTGAAATGATTAAAAAATATCGAATCGCCACA